CCCCCCCCCCATGCAAGCTGACACTCCCCCCTCCCCCGCCGCCTGCCCGGGCGCAGTTCGTCCCCCCGGAGTATGCCTTCGCCGCGGCGGTGGCCTACGCCGCCTGGACGGCCCTCACGGTCGGCGTGGCCCTCTGGTGGTCGTACGTCCTGAACCGGCACTTCGACAAGGAGGCCGCCGGGCCGGCCGCCGGGCTGACGGTCGTCCAGCAGGACAGCCTGCCGACGGCCGGCAACGCCGGCCCCAGCGGGTCGTACTACTCCACCCCGGCCACCAGCCCCTCCAGCCAGTCGGACTCGGGGGCCTCGGACCGGGCCGACCTCGACAGCTACTCGCTGGCCAAGCTGCGCGAGGACGCCTGGCTATCCCCTCGCAGCCTGTCGGAGGCCACATCCGAGCAGCACTTCCTCGATCGCCGCGACCACCGGTCCATGGACATCGTCCGGGACCTGCCCTCCTACTTCAGGAACACCGATCATTCCAGCGCCTGGACCATCGAGATCCCCGGGGTGCTGGACGAGTCGGAGATCCGCGAGCTGTCGACCTCCGGGCGGGCGTCGCAGCCCACCGACAACTGGCCCTCGGCCCCCTTCGCCAACCACACCAATGGCCGGCCCCCCATTCGCCTCTTCGCGCGGCACGCGGTGGACACTTCCTCCAGCGATGAGAGCGACAGCGAGCCCCCGACGCCGGCCCTCAGCCCGATGGAGGCCTTCGGCATGCACCGGCTCCGGGGCCTGTCGCTGCGCCTTCCCCCGGCCTCGGTGTGCAGCCTGTCCGGCCACCCGCGGACCGGGCACTTCTTCAGCGTCGTGCCCGGCGACGAGGAGTTCCTCTTTCACCCGTACCAGCGCGAAAACTGGGAATGGGACCTCAACGGCCAGCAGGCCCCTCAGCAGCAGCAGCAGCACCAGCAGCAGCACCGGCAGTCCGCCAGCGGTGGCGACAGCCCGGGCCCCTGGCCGGTGGCCAGCTTCCGGCCCTTCTCCGTGCCGGACCCGGAGCTGGTCGGCCTGCCGGCCGACAGCGACCACCGGTCTGGCGATTACTTCGCCATCCGGCCGGTGTCGGCCCCCTTTGCCCAGGCCCACGAGGCGGAGGACTACCTGCTGGATGATGGCATCCATGGCACCGGGTTCGGGGAGGCCCAGCATGTGGCGGCCGGGCGCGGGGGGGGGGCTCGGCGCCGGCGCCGGCCGGCCCCGGTCAGCCCCATCACCCGGTACCTGCCGGATGACAATGAGCTGGCGGATTTGTTGGATTCCATGCCCTCCGGGCCGCGGGTCTTCCTGTGCTGCCATGGCGGCCCGGCGGCCCCGGTGCCGGATGCCGTGCCGCTGACACAGCGTGCCCTGCTGTCGGACTTGTCGCTGGCCGGGCCGGGGGCCAATCACCGGGCGCCGCGCTCGCTGCGGGCCTGGCGCCGGCATCTGGCCCGGCATCTGAGCCAGCCGCTGCCGTGGGACCTGCGCACGCAATTGGCCCACCCCGGGGGCGGGGCCCCGGCCACGCGGCTGGCCCTGCGCCGGTCGGTGTCTCTGGATTCGCTGGCTCCGCTGGCCGCCACCGGGGCCCTGTCCCCGGCGTCGGTGGGCGGCGCGCCGCTGCCCCTGCTGCCGGACTTCGCCCGGGTGGCCACCATGCAGCCCGGTGACCCGAGCAATGAGCCCTGCCTGCGGGTGTTGGACTTCATCGTCCGCCTGGCCCGGCACCCGGGCGACAACCGGTCCAATGTCATCCACTCGTACTATGATGAGTCCTCCAACTGGGAGACCTTCTACATGCTGATGCCGGACCGGTACAACCGGCCGGGCTACCAGCACCAGAAGGTCCTCTGGAACCGTGCCTTCACCCTGAGCACCATCAAGCAGCTTGCCTAGTGCGTGTGTCCATGTGTCTGCCTGTTGTTTTTTTTTCTCCACTTGTCCCCCGTGCCCGTTCTGTCTTTCTTTCCCTCCCCTCCCGCGTGTCACTGCACCCGGCCGCTGACTCCTCCCTCCACGCGCATGGACGCGCCCAAAAACCCAAACCCACACACACACTCTCGCACACACACACACACACACTCGCACACACACACACTCGCACACACTCGCACACACTCGCACACACACTCGCACACACACTCGCACACACAC